GTCCTTCACAAGATGCGTGATAGATGCCTGGTTGATGGGGTTCTGGGAGTTCTTCGACTCCCCAAGCCCGGCCCGAGGTCAGGCTTGACTTGTGAGAGCTTGGTCCACCAGGCTGTTGCTTGGAGCGGCCCGCAGGCCCACATACCTACCACAGCCCGGTTGATCAGGCACTAATTGAAGACAACGATCTTGTTTTCTCTTGAAGATGTTAACGGTTGTTCCGGCAATATTTCTTATGCTCGCTGGGAGGGTGTTGAACAACCGTGGACCTCTGATGTTTATACAGTGTTCTCTGGTCGTCTATGGCACCCCTGCTTTTCACTGGTTCTATTTTTTATTTTCTTCCATATCGTTATCTGCAGTATATTGTTATTTTACTGTGTAGATTTGATACCCGGCCCTCCAGTATTTTCCACGTGTATATTATTTGATATTTCTCTCGTCTCCTTTCTAGTGAGTACATTTGGAGAGCTTTGAGACGATCCCAATAATTTAGGTGCTTTATCGCCTCTATATATGCTGTATATGTTCTCTGTACTCCCTCTATTTCAGCATTTGCTTTTGTCTCTATTTGAATTTATCTCTATTTGCTTTCCTACTATGGGCATATTTGATTATGTTTGTACCCTGTATTATGTTTAATTTTACCGTACCTGAGTACCTGGAATTTATCACTGTTAAAATCATGTTATTTTCTGCTGCCCAGTCGAAAACTTTATTAATATCGGCCTGTAGTTTTTCAATGTCTACAATGTTTTTCATGCTGATTCTTGTGCCATCCACAAAGGATGATACGAAGCTGTGACTTGTATTTTGTCTATATCTGATATGAGAATAAGGAAAAGCAGTGGTGCATGACCCTGAGGTATAGAGCTTTTAACTGTGCTTGGACTCGATTTTATGTGGTTGACTGTTACTCTTTGTATTCTGTTAGACAGAAAACTGAGAATCCACCGTCCTACTTTACCAGTTATTCCCATTGACCTAATTTTGTGTGCTATCACTCCATGGTCACATTTATCGAATGCCTTTTCGAAGTTCGTGTATACAACATTTGCATTCTGTTTTTCTTCTAATGCCTCAGTGACTTTGTCGTAGTGGTTAAATAGCTGTAAGAGGCAAGATCTTCCCACTCTAAATCCATGCTGGCCTGGGTTGTGAAGGCCATTGGTCGCTATGAAACTGGTGATCTGACTCCTGATCACTCTCTCAAATACCTTTATTATGTGGGACGTTAGTGCAACTGGTCTATGATACTTTGCCAATGCTTTGCTCCCTCCTTTGTTTAGAGGGGCTATGTCTGTTGATACTCTTCTGGTATCTCGTACACTGGTATCGCGTATCTGGATGTTGCATTTAAATGTGTTGCAACAACACGGAGTTGCCTGTCTGCTTGTATTACTGAGGTGAGTTACGCACCAGCCTAGAGTCTAAGGCCTCACTATCACTTTACAATAGCAACACATTTCGATTTTTAGTCAACTAATTTGGGATTTTCGTCTTCTGATTAGAGATTCTTTGTTAATTTGAGATTTATGTCCACTAATGTGCGACGTTTGTTCACTAATTTGGGATTTTTTACTTGTAAATAATTAGAGATTTGTATCGATTATTTTAGGATTTTGTCACACTGAGTCCTGGTGAGTGTGAGTCATTACACTACACGCGCCCAACACTCCTGTCGGGTAGTGAGTGTATGTAGGTCTCAGTGAGACCCTCCAACACTGTTGACAGTCACTGGCTGAGTGGTTATAACACTGGACTGTCGGGAGCATGGACACACTGGCTGACCCGGTTCGAATCCTTCGAGTCAGTTTTTAGTGTGTGTGTGTGTATATATATATATATATATATATATATATATATATATATATATATATATATATATATATATATATATATATATATATATATATATATATATATATATAGGGGGGCACCACCACTGGTGCAATTATAGGGACCCACAGCCTCAGAGAAGGGAACACAGAGCATTCAGGGAAAAACTTTAAACTTTGCAAAAAATTAACATTAAGAGGACTATATATATATATATATATATATATATATATATATATATATATGTGTGTGTATCTTCATATGTAACTAAGACAGCCCATGTGTAGACAAAGAAGCCACAGCTTTGCTGGAGGCAGCAACAACCCCCAGTGATCGTGCACGCCTCACAGCTGTGCAGGCTCCCCATGCAGGGGACTTCCTTTTGGCAATCTCTATGTTTGCGACAGGCACACGTCTTGATCCGCAGGAGCTCCGTATTGCAGTCGCTCTCCGTCTTGCTGCCCCTATCCACACTGTTCATAAGTGTATTTGCGGCGAGGCAGATGCAGACGAATATGGATTGTATGGCCTGCACTGTGGAAAATCTGGCGTTTGGCACTCAAGATACGACGAAGTCATTGATATCATTAAGAGGAGCCTAACTCTGTCGAGTGTCCAGCAGAGAGAGAGAGAGCCTCGCAGTGTACTGAACCGCAATGTATTGAATCGTATCTCTGTTAGCTTTGCTGGCCAACCAGAAGGAATCATACTGCGCCCCTGGAAAAATGGCAAACAATTGGCATGGGACTATACTTGCGTATCCACCCTGGTTTCTGACAGCATTTTTTAATCATTTTAACCACTATTTGAACAATGCACAATTATTATCATTTTATACAATTATTTTGCATACACATAATATTTTGTATATAATTTTATAGAACTCCATATTACCAAAAGGGGCGAGTTGTGAATTTCAATAAAATTATGCGTTCACTAAAGGGTTTCCGTGATTTGAAATATTCTGTTGCGAGGTTTATTACGCCAAATAAAACATTTAAAAACTGATTTACCGTTTTTTGTTTTGCTAATTAATTATATAAAGCGTACAGAATAATTAGACAACTTGTATAACGTGTAATGACTACCCAACCACTTTGACAGGACGGTATAGCGACGGTCTCGCTTCATGCAGGTCGGCGTTCAATTCTCTACCGTCCAAGTGGTGGGGCACCATTCCTTTCCCCCGTCCCATCCCAAATCCTTATCCTGACCCATTCCAAGTGCTATAACGTCGTAATGGCTTGGCGCTTTCTCTTATAATTATAAAACATTATCCAAGAAAACCAGTAACTCAAATTCTTTAACTAAATATATACTAGCAAACTTATTCTAGTGTTTAAATAGTTTAAAAAGTTATATTCTGGGAACCTTAAAGTATATTTAAGATTGTCAGTATAGATTAAGATTGTTACCTAACTGAACCTAAACTAACTGAACACAACCTAACTTAACTGAAGTAAACCTCTACCTAACTTAACTGCACTAAGCCTATGAACCAATTCTAATGAACAAATCCACAAGGGCCGTGATGAGGGTTCGAACCTGGTCTACCTCTTCGCCCTTACTTCAATACACATCCCTCATCACGGCACTTGTGGATCTGTTCATTAGATGTATCAGGCTATTGTCATTTTTGTGTGTATTGAAGCAAGGGCGAAAAGGGAGAACAGGTCGTTGACAGAGCCCGGGTGCATGGGGGAATTGTGTAAAACTGATTGGAATTGTATCTCGGAGAGGCTGTGGGATCCGTGTGAGGGCAGTAGCAATCCCGGTTGCAATTCTTTTGACCATGTCGTGACGCAATCGGCTAAGGCGCGTCTGGGATCATCCCAGACGTAGGTTCGAACCCTCATCACGGCCCTTGTGGATTTGTTCATTTGATGTATCACGCTATTGTGATTTCTGTGTGTAGTGAACCAGTTCTAATCTAAGAAGGCTGTGGATCTAGCCCGTCCTCTCGAGCGTTCACAACGTCTATATACTGATGTATACTAAATTGCCCAAATCTAACCTAGCCGAGGTTGAAAACGGGACATCACGTCAATTTTGCTAAACGATATGATTTTTAGTACATCAGATTTTGGCCTTAGGGGATTTATACGTCAAAATGCGATGTACTATTCGAGAGAACGGGTATCTACCCGTTCTAGGGCGGTTATCAACCCGTCCTAGGGCGGGTACAGGGACAAAGAGCCACCCACAGAATGTGGCGGTGAGGGAAGTGCGGCTCTATGATAGCATACACTTTGATAAATTATTAGGTGAAATACCGGTAGGCTTTTTGGGTTAAGTTTTTGCTACATTCTAGCGGAAATTCCACCATGGTAGGCCCCAGGTGCCACCCTGGTGAATGTGCCTCTCTGGTTGATGTTCTTTCCTGACGGGTGGATCTTCCAGAGTTAATATTTATTCTAGGATGATCTTCCCATTTTTTTTCTTCAGGGATATTCCTGCGCGGGCCCTAAGCCTCTGGCTGGTCCACTAAGTGTTGCTTGTTTCTGTTTTACTTGGGCGGAGTATGAGTATTTATGACTCGTATAGTCGCTTCAGTAAGATTTTGTCCCATGTGTTTAACAACTTCTTTTGGTCTGTTGAATCTAAGTTGAAATATTATTTGGTTTGTAACTGTGCACTGCGTTAGATAATGTTCCAGTGGTTTGTCAGGCATTTCTCTCCTTGGTAAATGTTATTTCCTGACTGTTCTTTCCTGGTGGATGTTCTTTTGTGGATACTCTTTCTTGGTGGATGTTCTTTTGTGGATACTCTTTCCTGGTGGATGTTCTTTTGTGGATACTCTTTCCTGGTGGTTGTTCTTTTGTGGATACTCTTTCCTGGTGGTTGTTCTTTTGTGGATACTCTTTCCTGGTGGTTGTTCTTTTGTGGATACTCTTTCCTGGTGGTTGTTCTTTTGTGGATACTCTTTCCTGGTGGATGTTCTTTTGTGGATACTCTTTCCTGGTGGTTGTTCTTTTGTGGATACTCTTTCCTGGTGGTTGTTCTTTTGTGGATACTCTTTCCTGGTGGATGTTCTTTTGTGGATACTCTTTCTTGGTGGATGTTCTTTTGTGGATACTCTTTCCTGGTGGATGTTTTCAATGGTGTATGGTCTTGTCTGGTGAATGTTCTTCTTTGGTGGATGTTCCTCCGTGGTGGATATTTTATTTTGTGTATGTTCTTATTTCTGGATGTTCTTTCCTGGTGGAAGCTTTCTCCCCTGGTGGATGTTCATCCATAGTGAATGTTCTTCCTGGTATATATTCTTCCCTGTCTTGACATGTGTTCTTCCTTGTGATGTGTTCCTCCTTGTGATGTGTTCCTCCTTGTGATGTGTTCCTCCTTGTGATGTGTTCCTCCTTGTGATGTGTTCCTCCACTAAGGTTGACCCTTGGTGGAGGGTGACCCTTGGTGGAGGGTGATCCTTGGTGGAGGGTGACCCTTGGTGGAGGGTGACCCTTGGTGGAGGGTGACCCTTGGTGGAGGGTGATCCTTGGTGGAGGATGACCCTTGGTGGAGGGTGACCCTTGGTGGAGGATGACCCTTGGTGGAGGGTGATCCTTGGTGGAGGGTGACCCTTGGTGGAGGGTGACCCTTGGTGGAGGGTGACCCTTGGTGGAGGGTGATCCTTGGTGGAGGATGACCCTTGGTGGAGGATGACCTTTGGTGGAGGGTGACCCTTGGTGGAGGGTGACCCTTGGTGGAGGGTGATCCTTGGTGGAGGGTGACCCTTGGTGGAGGGTGACCCTTGGTGGAGGGTGACCCTTGGTGGAGGGTGACCCTTGGTGGAGGGTGACCCTTGGTGGAGGGTGATCCTTGGTGGAGGATGACCCTTGGTGGAGGATGACCCTTGGTGGAGGGTGACCCTTGGTGGAGGGTGACCCTTGGTGGAGGGTGACCCTTGGTGGAGGGTGACCCTTGGTGGAGGGTGATCCTTGGTGGAGGGTGACCCTTGGTGGAGGGTGATCCTTGGTGGAGGGTGACCCTTGGTGGAGGGTGATCCTTGGTGGAGGATGACCCTTGGTGGAGGGTGACCCTTGGTGGAGGGTGACCCTTGGTGGAGGGTGATCCTTGGTGGAGGGTGACCCTTGGTGGAGGGTGATCCTTGGTGGAGGATGACCCTTGGTGGAGGGTGATCCTTGGTGGAGGTTGACCCTTGGTGGAGGGTGACCCTTGGTGGAGGGTGACCCTTGGTGGAGGGTGATCCTTGGTGGAGGGTGACCCTTGGTGGAGGATGACCCTTGGTGGAGGATGACCCCAGGTAAATCGTGACCTCAGCGCTGCCGCTAACAAGGATGACCCCCAAACCTCATCAGTACCCCCCGACGGAGAGTGACCCCATGCGAAGAACGACCCCAGACGGAGGATGACCCCCAAGCGCAGAGAGATGCCAGTGCGGACCCCTGGCGTAGGGTGACCCCAGGCAAAAGGCGACCGTAGGCGGAGGCCGAGGGGTCGCCGGCGTAGCGGTCACGTCCCATTGTGCTGTCCACCCACACCTTATGGGGACCAGCTGCTGGGAATTATTCCATTAGGTCCAACTCTCCGGCATTGTCTCGGGGCCTCCTCTCGCCATCGCTCTAATTTATTATGCCAATTTCCTTAGTTTTTGCAATTATATCTATTTTTTCTCGAGTGATTTTCATATTTATTACTGCAATTTAATGCGTTTTTCGAATTATATATATATGTATTGCGCTCTCTAGTTGTGTTGATTATACACTATTAAGATTCCTGAGGCTTACCTCTACCCGAGTGTTTAAGTCATGCGGGCTTAACGAGCTGGTGTGTTGGCCTCTGTCTGCCTTGCAAATAAAGGATTAGTTTGTTTTATGTCTGTGGTATGCAACAAGCTACAGTTTTACTCGGAAGCAGAAGCATTCTTTCTAATATGTCTCTCTCTCTCTCTCTCTCTCTCTCTCTCTCTCTCTCTCTCACACACACACTACACACAGGCTGCAGAAGCAAGGAGACGCAAAAAAAGGGGTTGGGGATGTAGGAGCCACAGGACTCGGCTCAGTATCTCCAGTAACCTCCGAAGGGAGTGGGAATCCCCCCACCAGCAGGCCAGTACCCGCAAGGAGAAATGTAACAGAAGCCTTCCACCATCCAACCCCACAGCCATCCCCCACCAATCACCTGCACCTCCCCAGACAGTAAAGTCCCTCTTCAGACCATGCCCCCCCCCATGCTCCCCGACCCTAGGCCTCCCCCCATGTTCTCCCCATGCCCTTCTTCTTCCCCAAATCCTTCCCCCACCCCAGGCCCTCCCTGTTCCTGCACCCCATACCCTCTCTTGTTTCTCCAGTCCATACCCTTTGGGGACACCCCTTTGGACATACACCCCTTTGGGGAGCCGGTCGGCCGAGCGAACAGCACGCTGGACTTGTGATCCTGTGGTCCCGGGTTCGATTCTGGGCGCCGGCGAGAAACAATGGGCAGAGTTTCTTTCACCCTATGCCCCTGTTACCTAGCAGTAAAATAGGTACCTGGGTGTTAGTCAGCTGTCACGGGCTGCTTCCTGGGGGTGGAGGCCTGGTCGAGGACCGGGTCGCGGGGACACTAAAAGCCCCAAAATCATCTCAAGATAACCTCAAGATAACCCTTCCAAGTTCCCCTACCCCAAGATCTCCTTCCTACCCCACCCACTCCCCAGGCTCCCCTTCCCTCCCGAACCCCTGACTTCCCTGCCAACCCACCCCAGACTCCCCCTGCATTCCCCAACCCGTGATCTCTCTCCCCACCAAATGCACCCCCCCCCTGTGCTCCCCCATCCCATGCCCTAATTAACCCCCAACCCAGACCCTCTCAGCCACACCACCTAAGTCTCTCCTAGCAACCTGTACCAGATCATCCCAGCCCCCCTTACACCCCAGATCCCCCTTCCTAAACCGCCACCTTCCACCCCGGACACCCCTTTGGCCCCCAACTCCAGTGGAATCAACAGACACTGAGGATGGACAGAAGAGAGTCAGCTTCAAAGTAATGCACTCAAATACAAAAGGGATTACAAGCAAGGCAAGTGAACTTAGGGAAAGAGCACAAGTGAACCTGGATGTAATTGGACTCATGGAAACAAAACTCTTAGGAATCATAATGAATGTGGTGTTTCCCCAGAGACTACACTGTAATAAGGAAAGAGAGGGAAGGAAGGGGAGGAGGCGGAGTGGCTCTACTGATGAGAAAGGAATGGAGTTTCGAGGAGATGGTTATTCCAGGCTGCGAAGGGTTCAGAGATTTCATAACAGGCACTATGACGATGGGAGGACCAAGAATAGTATTAGCAGTGATATATAACCCACCAACAAATGACAGAAGACCCAGCGAAGAGTATGACAGAAACAACATGGCACCTAACACTATAATTGAGAGAGGAGCCGCTGCTGCCTGTAGAAATTGATCCCATCTGCTCATTATGGGGGAATTTAATCACGGAAGGATAGACTGAGAAAAGAAGTATCAAATCCAAACAACTGATTAACTTAACAAATAATAAGAAAACACGACTGGCCGTGTTTGTGAGAATTTACGTTTGTGAGAATATCATTGTAACACTGATTAGTTAAAGCACTGCAAGCATTTTGACGCTGCGATCTATGAATTGCATGTATATATATATATATATATATATATATATATATATATATATATATATATATATATATATATATATATATATATATATATATATATATATATATATATATACACACACAACGTCTACCGTTATTCACTGAACACACGGAAACATCAAAATAGTGATATAATGAGTGACTCTTGGCCACAACAAAAATTCATGAAGCACAGCATTAAAAAGTGTCACTCACTGGATTTACACTACAAAATATGATATCTAAACCATACATGGCGTTGTTGCATGTGATAGTGGTTGTGTGTGGTAGAGTGTGTGGTCCTGGGACGTGAGGTAGGTAGAGAGCGTGTGGTAGTGGTTTTGGGAGGAGGGAATCAGGAGAGTTAATTGTATTTTGATGTGTGCATAACATGCGCTCGCTCGCGTGTGTGTGTGTGTGCTCACCTAGTTGTGCTTGCGGGGGTTGAGCTTTGGCTCTTTGGTCCCGCCTCTCAACTGTCAATCAACTGGTGTACAGATTCCCGAGCCTACTAGGCTCTATAATATCTACATTTGAAACTGTGTATGGAGTCAGCCTCCACCACATCACTGCCTAATGCATTCCATCTGTTAACTACTCTGACACTGAAAAAGTTCTTTCTAACGTCCCTATGGCTAATTTTGGTATTAAGTTTCTACCTGTGTCCCCTTGTTCGTGTACCACCAGTGTTAAACAGTTTATCTTTATCTACCCTGTCAATTCCTCTGAGAATTTTGTAGGTAGTGATCATGTCTCCCCTTACTCTTCTGTCTTCCAGTGTCTTGAGGTGCATTTCCCGCAGCTTTTCCTCGTAACTCATGCCTCTTAGTTCTGGGACTAGCCTTGTGGCATACCTCTGAACTTTTTCCAGATTCGTCTTGTGCCTGACAAGGTACGGGCTCCATGCTGGGGCCGCATACTCCAGGATTAGTCTTACATATGTGGTATACAAGGTTCTGACCTGTAGTTCAATGCCTCCTGTCTATACCCCTTCTTGTATATCGGGACTACGTTAGCTGTTTTCCAAATTTCTGGCAGTTCTCCTGTTGCCAGTGATTTGTTATACACTATGGAGAGTGGCAGGCACAGTGCTTCTGCTCCTTCCGTTAGTATCCAAGGGGAGATTCCATCTGGGTCTATAGCCTTTGTCACATCCAACGCTAGTAAAAGCTTCCTTACTTCCCCACTGGTAATCTCAAACTCTTCCAGTGGTTCCTGGTTAACTATTGTGTGTGTGTGTGTGTGTGTGTATGTGTGTGTGTGTGTGTGTGTGTGTAATTACCTAAGTGTAATTACCTAAGTGTAGTTACAGGATGAGAGCTACGCTCGTGGTGTCCCGTCTTCCCAGCACTCTTTGTCATATGTGTGTGTGTGTGTGTGTGTGTGTGTGTGTGTGTGTGTGTACTCTCCTAATTGTATTCACCTAATTGTGCTTGCGGGTGTTGAGCTTTGGCTCTTTGGTCCCGCCTCTCAACCGTCAATCAACAAGTGTACAGGTTCCTGAGCCTATTGGGCTCTATCATATCTGCACTTGAAACTGTGTATGGAGTCAGCCTCCACCACATCACTTCCTAATGCATTCCATTTGTCAACCACTTTGACACTAAAAAAGTTCTTTCTAATATCTCTGTGGCTCATTTGGGCACTCAGTTTCCACCTGTGTCCCCTAGTGCGTGTGCCCCTTGTGTTAAATAGCCTGTCTTTATCTACCCTATCAATTCCCTTGAGAATCTTGTATGTGGTGATCATGTCCCCCCTAACTCTTCTGTCTTCCAGCGAAGTGAGGTTTAATTCCCGTAGCCTCTCCTCCTAGCTCATACCTCTCAGCTCGGGTACTAGTCCGGTGGCAAACCTTTGAACCTTTTCCAGTTTGGTCTTATCCTTGACTAGATATGGACTCCATACTGGGGCTGCATACTCCAGGATTGGCTTGACATATGTGGTATACAAAGTTCTGAATGATTCCTTACACAAGTTTCTGAATGCCGTTCTTATTTTGGCCAACCTGGCATATGCCGCTGATGTTATTCTCTTGATATGAGCTGCAGGGGACAGGTCTGGCGTGATATCAACCCCCAAGTCTTTTTCTCTCTCTGACTCATTGTCAGAGAAAAAGTGTGTGTGTGTGTGTGTGTGTGTGTGTGTGTGTGTGTGTGTGTGTGTGTGTGTGTGTGTGTGTGTGTGTGTGTGTGTGTTGTGTGTGTGCCTCTGTGTGTGTGTGTGTGTGTGTCAGTGTGTGTGTGTGTGTGTGTGTGTGTGTGTCCCACGGCAATCTGATCTGGAGCGAAAGACACCAAATTTAATGGAATATATAGCAATGTAATGTCGTTAAGCTGCAGCAGAATTCATCGCACCCAGGAAACAGTCAATAAGAAAAGCAGGATTACTGTGTGGTTGAGCAGGAAGTGCAGGGAGTCAGATGCAGCAAGTCTTACCATGCCACAGGCTCTCTGTAGTGCACCTGGGTTCCTTCTCGACATATAATCGGAAATCCTGAATTCGAATCCCGGCCGAGACAGAAATGGGTGCAAGCTTTGGGGTTAATCTTTGACACTCGTTTGTCTTGGTCGCACCACTTTAATAAGACTATCAAAATCCTCAGATTAGGCAAAATTGTAATTAATTTTGTCAATAAAGATGTTAATAATAATAATTACCTCCGAGTTGAATGCTCCAAGATCCTTAACCTCCTTAAGGTGTTGTCCCCATACTTCTTGGGGAGCGGATAGGCGCACGCTCCTCTATTTGCACTCTTCTCTCGTCCTGTCTAAACTCGATTATGGTTGCCCTGCCTACTCTTCTGCTTCTCCTTCTACTCTTCGCCGTCTTGATGCTTTGCACCATACTGGGTTGCGCCTCAGCTCTGGTGCCTTTCGTTCAACTCCTGCCCTCAGCTTGTACGCTGACACTGGCTTTGTCTCTCCAGGATCCCCGTGATCGCTAGTCTTCGCTATCTTGCGCGGTC